AATTTGGACAACACTGGGTAGGAATTTCTTTCCCTGGATCCTGAATGAACATTCAGCTGACATGCTACAAGAACTACCTACATTAACCTTCAGCAACACTGACTTTATTCTTCTGAAAAATTTGTCTGTAATTCAGTCATCTCCAGTTGCTTTATACAGTTTGGAAACACATCTAATCAAATGACACAAACAACTGTGCTGGGGTCAGATGAATCTTTTAATGCAACTGATCTTAGCAGCATACTCTTCAGAGTCACCTGGGGCCAGATGTCTTCTCTCCCTGATTGAGCTATTGTTGACTTTCTGGGTTTCATTTTTAAAGAGAGGCAGAAATGAGCTCAAAATGCATAGTCCTACCCTCCCTTCAAAAAACATTTCAGCTAAATGTATTGAACCCACATGTCTATCCCTGTAAAAAAATGAAATGGGATATTTAGTAGCAGCAAATGGTGGTTTCTGGAGGCGATTAATGTTCAACATCCTATTTTTCCCTGATTCCATGTTTTAAAATGTTTCACCTAGAGCATTAACTAACAGCATTAGGAATGCAGACAGCAGGAAAAGGATTCAATGGATGCTGTAGTACAAAAGATCTCACTAAGGAGACGACTAGTATTTTGGCTATTCTTTTGGTTAATGTAGTAGGGAACTACAGTGGCAATGCTAGAGCTAAAAGCTTGAGCTGCTACCACACATAAGTGTGGCATTTAGCTTTTACATCAAGACTGAAAAAGGCCTTGTAAAACAAGACTTATGCTAGTATGGAAAATGCATAATAGTCCATGGATTAACAGGAAAAGTACTACCTATCGTGAGGATGTCTCTGTTCAAAGGCTGTTTTTTCTCAGTAATCCAGCAGATCAAGTTAGACAAGCTCAACAACTGCTCCTCTGATCTGGAGTTGTGCAAAGTCTTTGACACAGTCATGACATCCTTGTCTCTAAACTGAGGCGACATTAAATTGGTGGATGGACCACTCAGTGGATAAGGAATTGGCTGAATGGTCACACTCTGAGAGCTGGGGTAAATGGCTCAATGTCCAGGTGGAAAGCTGTGACAAGTGGCATTCCTCAAGGGTTGGTATTGGGACTGGCACTTTTTAACATCTTTTTGGTGGCATGGACAGTGGAATCAAGTGCACCCTAAGCAAGTATGCGGATGACACCAAGCTGTGTGGTGCAGTTGACATGCTGGAGGGAAGGGATGATATCCAGAGGGACCTGGACAGACTTGAGAGGTGGGCCTGTGTGAACCTCATGAGGTTCAACAAGGCCAAATGTAAGGTCCTGCAATGGGTCAGGGCAACATCCTGTAACAACACATGCTGGAGGCTGATGGGATTGAGAGAAGCCCAGAGGAGAAGTATTTGGGGATGGTGGTGGATGAGAGGCTGGACATGAACTGTCAGTGTACACTTACAGCCCACTCACAGCCAAATGTGTCCTGGGCTGCATCCAAAGCAGTGTGGGCAGCAGGTCGAGGGAGGGGATTCTGCCCCTCTACTCACCTGGAGCTCTGCACCCACATTTGGGGTTTCCAGCAGAGCAAGGAGATGGACGTGTTGGAATGAGTCCAGAGGAGCCCATGAAGATGATAGCTGAAGCAGAAGGCTGTAACACCTCTCCTATGAAGACAGGCTGAGGGACTTGGGATTGTTCAGCATGAAGAAGAGAAGGCTTCGGGGAGACCATATTGCACCTTCCAGTACCTAAAAGGGGCCTATAGGAAAGCTGGGGAGGGACTTTTTACAAAAGCATGTAGTGATAGGACATGGAGGAATGGCTTTAAACTGAAAGAGGGAGGTTTTATTAGGAAAAATTTCTTTACTGTGAGGGTGGTGAGACACTGGGACAGGTTGCCCAGAGAAGTTGTGCATGCCCCATCCCTGGAAGTGTCCAAGGCCAGGTTGGATGGAGCTTTGAGCAACTTGCTCTACTGGAAAGTGTCCCTGCCCATGGCGGGGGGGGCTGGAACGAGATGACCTTTAAAAGGTCCCTTACAACCCAAAACATTCTATGATTTCATGTTAATCGGTTATGTCTTTGGAGATCACACAGTGGTGATCAGAGAGACCAGAGTGGATTTTTTTCAGATTAATAGTGTAGCTTGCAAAACTGTTTTCTTCCTACAGATACCTTGAAATGAAACTGAATCTCACCAATATTGGAATTCTTTGCTATTGAATACAGAGACAACTAAAAGGTATGAAACTGCAGGCAGCTGTTTGCCATAGTACCTTGTTCAATATATTCCAAAATACATTATTCAGACAGACATATGTAGAATAATTCATATGGAAGGCAATGTTGAAAAATGCAAGGAAAATAACGATATTCAAATAAGAGAAAGTTGGAGTAAAAAGATGCATCTTCCAGGAGTTTTATACTTTCTTATTGTTTAAAGGTGTACAATGAAGCAATCAACCTAACAAAGTTTAAATGGTAAATTATGACAGAAATAATTACCTGTGGAAAAAAAAGCTACAGGAAAATAGTTTTTCATTCTTGCTGCTATCTGTACAGCAAGAAGCAAAGGATATAGTAAGGGCTTCAGACAACACATCCAAATAAGAGAAATTGGCCATAATCACAGATGATGAATGATGTTGTGATTAAAACAAGTCAGAAAATTAGATGGTTGAGACAAAATTATATAGGAACATACAGTTTTTCAGTTAATTAAAAAATATTAAATGTCTAGATGATCTTCAGTGTAGTCAATTAAACATTCTTTTCTCACTCTTCGGTGTCTTAAAGTTTAAAATTTTAAATTAGATGTCTTTTTTAAAAAAAGCTATTTTGAAACTGTCAAAACACTTCAATATTTCTAAAACATTAAGGTAGAAAATATCAAGCTTAACCGTTGTCTTACGTATTTTCCTAAGACATAACTAGTCTTCAAGTTTGACCCCATTTCACAAATTGAATCAACAGTGTTCACAATTCTGTCTTCCCAGCACATTTCTGTTTAGCATCAAAATTCCTCCCTGCTGTACCTCTCTCCATCTGAGGCACCACTACTTCTGCTTCCCGCTGTCTATTCTTTTCTTCACCAAGCCTTCTTCTGCATAGCTGGATTTACGATTTCCCTGGCAAGGTGTGTACCAAAGAGATACTCAGAGTCAAGGGTCCTTATTGCACCACTGTCATGGCCACCCAGGTTTTTGGCACCCAGCACCCCAGGCTGGTGTCCAGACCATAGGCTAAAGGGGTCTAGGGATGTCACACACCTGCTAGCTTCTCCACAAAAACAGCTTCCTCTCACCACAGAGGAGGACTAGGCTGCTTATTATAATTTATGCATTTTCTGGCTTCTAGCTCTGGCCTCCCACAGCTAAACCAGCTTTGTTAATCAGCTGGATCCCAGAGGCACTATCCTTCTAAATAGCATCCTGGGCATTGCTGTGAATCATTTACCAGGAGCAACCTTCCCTGAGCTATTCCTCTTTCCTTCTACTTACTTTCCTCACAACTCAGAATTAAAAAGCCCAGAGCATTCATATGATAAACCCTTTACTATGCCAATGATAATTACCCCAAATACAGTACCCAGGAGATATTACAAAATAGTCACTGCTCTTTTACAGTTAGAAATGTTTGTTCTGGATACAGCTGGGGCTGAGAGGCTCACTGGGTTATCTTCCTGACAAGTTGGTCCCAGGTCAGGAGAAACTGTCCCTCTAAGACAGACTTCTCTGACTCCTCAATAACCATGAATGAATACTGCAAGAGCACTTGTTTCCCCATCCCCAGGTGGGGGTCCCCAATTCATGTGTCTCAAGACCAGAGCACTCCTGGGGCTCCTGCAAGCAGACTAGCAGGGAGCAGAACACTGTGAGGTCCTGTCTTCCCATCTCCAGTCATAAGGCAAGCGCCACAGACAAACATGAGCATAGCTGTCTTTGGAAAGCCAGGTTAGCAGCCATGATGTTCTCCTGTAGAAGAGGGCCTGGGACGAACCTGCTAACTAATGATCTCTGTTCCTCTTTCAAAAGCTGGCAGAGCTCATCTTAAAAGCAGTCAGCTTTCTCACTTCCACTTTTCCAGCTGTAAGACTGCTGGAAAACTTCACTGCAGGGAGCCCTCCTCTCACTTCCAGCCTAAATTTATTTATTCAGTGTATACATGTTGCTCTTGTTGAGAACACCAGCCTTTAGCCTAAGCTGTTCTTCTCCCTCCCTCCCTGGTATGTATTCCCCTGTGATATTTACAGACAGTAGGCAATCACACAGCCTCTCAGGCCTCACTGTGCTAGGATTAACAAGACAAGTTCTCTCAATGTCTTCAGCAATTCACATCCTGTTTATTCTAGTTAGTAGTCCCTCTCTGCATCTGTGCCAATTTTATCTACTCCCCAGAACATGGATGATCAGAACTGCACTGAACATCCAAAAAAGATATCCTACTCACACCTCAGATAGTAGTATCACCACCTTTCTGCACATGCTCTAAATGTCTAGGTGTGTATCAAGAGGATACCGCCCTTTATTCCAGATTCTTCCCAATGAGGGCTCAGCTTTAGCCAACCATGGGTGACACTGCAGCATCTGTCTTGCCTGCTATTCCCAGCTGATGAGATCTCACCTTACCAGAGCGTGCTCCCATCACAATGACCTTGCATGTTATACCACTGAATATCATCTTATTTCTAAGTACTGAGGTATCCAAGTCTTGCTGTATTTTTCCTCTCAGCTCTCCTTTGTTACAATGTAGCCTCTTCATGTTACCAGCAAACTCCACTAGCAGTTCCCTACAGCTGATTTTAAGTTCCTTCATGGAAAAACTAGAGATGACCGTGCTCTTTGAGGACCCTTCAGCAAGTCCAACTTAGGTTTGGGTTTCCAAATTCCATTTCAGTTGATAACATCCTACTTAACAGTTTACCACCTGCATTATACATTGTTCACCAGCTGCACCTGGCCATACCAGATGTGACCTCGAGGGAGGTGATTCTGCCCCTCTGCCCTTGTGAGACCCCAGCTGTAGACCGGCATTCAGCTCTGGGGTCCTCAGCACAGGAAAGACATGGACCTGCTGGAATGGGTCCAGAGCAGGACACAAAGATCATCAGAGAGGTGATGCACCTCTCCTATGAATACAGGATGAGAGAGCTGGGGTTGTTCAGCCTGGAGAAGAGAAGGCTTCAGGGAGACCTTATAGCAGCCTTCCAGTACTTGAAGGGGTTTATAAATAAGAGGGAGAGTAGCTTTTTACATGGTCAGATAGTGATAGGACAAGGAGGAACAGTTTTAAACTAAACAAGGACAGATTTAGATTAGATTTAGGAAAAAATTCTTCACTGTGAGGGTGGTGATGCACTGGAAAAAGGTTGCTTAGAGAAGCTGTGAATGCCCCATCCCTGGAAGTGTTGAAGGCCAGGTTGGATGGGGCTTTGAGCAACCTGGTCTAGCAGAAGGTATCCCTGGCCATGGTGGGAGGGTTGCAACTAGATGATTTAAAAGGTCCTTTCCAAACTAAACCATTCCATGATTCTTTGATTACTGATATCCCAAAATTTTCCTGTGAAATTTCCATGGAACAGATTACAAAACCAAACGCATAATGACACTATCCATCTTTGGCAAAACCCCATCAACACTTATCCTGCTTTCCATTAACCTCTGTATCTTCAATTATCACTTTTTTCCATCTAGGCTCTTCACTCTTGTGAACACTGGGGGCAGCTCAGACCATTCCCCTGCCATTTTTAGATTAGGTCATTAATTTTTGCTGCTCTCCACTCTAAACCACTGTTTTCAGAGGTCTGCTTTAACATGTGCAATGGCCACGCTAGTCTTCCAGCTTTTCTGCTATGGGGATTAGACAGATCACTCTGCTCTCTGCTTGAACGCATTCACTTCTTACAGCTATTATGAAACATCTTCCCCAATGATACCGAGAGTGGCAAAAGAAGTCTCCAAGAGGAATCCCGACAATTCAAACACTGCTTGGTAAACTAACTTCCAAACTCCCCAAACTGGACATGAAGATACATGGGATTAATAACAGTTATTTTAACCAACTCACAAGGGCCTATCACTAAGGTAGTAATGGTACAGTTCACTGTACAAAGGAATCCACTGGAGGAAATATAATGTGCTTCTTTCACTCTGGTAGATAGTGCTGGTGACCTCTAAGACATCCTTTTTAACATTCATTACTGGTAGATTCTGAAATCAAATACAAATAGTCATCTTTACTTTTAATTCAACCTTATTGCCAACAGTCTTGAGAAGTCTAGATGATACTATCAATGGCAGCATAACACGACTGACAGTGAAGTTCAGATCAGTGAAAAAGCTGAGTCAGACTCTTCCACATTGCATAGTCACGAATCACTACCTCTAGACTACAGCTGCCAACATGCTGTCTGTCTTGACTTCAAATAATTTTAAATTTTAGAGAGGGCAGTTGGGCCGTTTAACTTCTAGACAAAACAATGAGGTTGAACTTTCTCAGGGAAAAATTAAGAACAGATTCTGACTTATTTCTCCTGTAAAAAAAAAGTAGAAGACCCTGAAATATGCCACAGTATTACTTGGACAATAGTGTCTCCCTGAAGAAATCTGCCCTTCTACAGTGCTTATTACCATGCACTCCAGGTTAATTAATACTGTTAATAATAATTCTACTTTGCTTGGCTGGTGGTATTCACCCTATAGATAGTAGATAAAACTGTAGTTTCTAATAGCCATAAGCATAATTAAAATAGACATTAGGAATGAGAGAAAAAGTATACTATCTGGAGACTGTCGCTTGATCAATATCAAGGGGCAGGCAAAGGTTGGATACTTCAGTGCTAGATATCTGTTGTGGTACTAAATAGATCTGAAACCAAGATATCAAAACGAACAACTGCCGTTGTGTTAAAACTCCAGCATTTAAAAATGTGATTTTGTTTCAAATTAGAACGCAAAACCAAAATGTTGGCCTCTCCTATCAAAAAAAGTTCAAGACCTATTTCTGACTACAAAAATGAAAAACTGTGAATATAGAAACAGCACTAAATATTGCAATTAACACTGTAACATAAATCTAATGACAAGACAGAATTAATAGAAGTGAAAATGGAAATGTTTTGACATAAAATATTTTGTTAAAATAGACTTCTCCCTGGGGAAAAACTCCAAAAGCAGCATTCCTGGGAAAAGAGTAGACTTTAAGACACCTGCAGTTTTCAATAAAAAGCTGCATTGATGGGAAAAAGAACAAATGGATTGAAACAATTTACATAAACACGCACTTGACACCACATCTAACAAAACCAATAACTGTAGACCAAACTCTTAACAAAGGAAATTAATTATTAACCAATATACCACTGATGTGAGCTCAATATAGGTTTAAAAACAATAATGTTTTTGGTGATTTGTAGCGCTCTTACTAGTTCTGATTAGCACTAAATATAAGCACATATTTTGAGAAGTCTCATGTTTCCAGTAATACTGGTAAATTCTGGATTGATCTCATATCTTATTTAATGAGAACTCCATATCAATGAACCATGGCTGCTAACCATCAGGAAAAAGATAGACTAAAAAATACACTATATAGCTTGTAAAACTTTACTAGGGAACTGCAGAGGATGCATCAACAATACACTAAAATTCCCCTGGAGAAAAGCCAGGATAGGCACTTGGTTGAGAAACACTATAATAAAAAGGTCATGGAATAACTGGTTAGTTTGTGTTGAAATAGACCTTTAAAGGTTATCCAAGGGACACCACTTGTCACTGATGTCCATCAGGACTCTGAGCTGTTGGCCACTACCCTCTGGATGTGACTATCCAGGCAATTCCTTATTCACCAGATAGTCTATTCATCAAGGCCATATCTCCAATTTAGAGGGAAGGATGCTGGGGGGGACCATGTCAAAGGCTTTACAGTCCACACAGATGACATCCCCTGTCCACTGATGCATCACAGAAGGCCACTGGTTTGGTCAGGCAGGACTTGCCCTTGGTGAAGCCGTGCTGACTGCCCCAAATCACCTCCCTGTTCTCCATGTACCTTAGCATAACTTCTATGAGGATCTGTTTCATTATCTTCCCAGGCAAAGAGGTGAGGCTGACAGGTCAGTAGCTCCCAGGGTCTTCTTTTCTACCCTTCTTAAAAAAGGGTACAATGTTTCTCTTTTTCCAGGCACCTGGGATTTCACCTGATTTCCATGACTTTTCAAATACGATGGAGAGCAGCCCAGCAACTCCATCAGCCAATTCCCTCAGGACTTCAGGATGCATCTCATCAAATCCTATGGACTTATATACTGTCAGTGTGACCCAATGCACTGGTATATTGTGCATTGACAGAGATGTTATTTAAGAGATGACATGGATTCACAAACATAAGCCTGGAGAAAATACAAACCACTTACAAGAATCGCAACAAGCAGATGTGAGTCTGTATTTCAGAAGATATGTACCCTGAGAAGAGCTGTGCAGCTGGTACAGTGAATGCTGGCTGTTAGCAGAAGAGGAAGGTTACTGAGAGGGAATTACAGAAACTGACCATTGTTGTCAGTCCATCCAGTGCATTATTTCACAGAATCACAGAACATCCTGATTTGGAAGGGATCCATAAAATGGTTGAAGTCTAACGCCTGGCCCTGCACAGGACAACCCCAAGAATCACACCATGTGCCTGAGAGCATTGTCCAAATGTTTCTCAAACTCTGGTAGGGTTGGTGCTGTGACCACTTCCCTGGGGAGCCTGTTCCAGCACCCAAACACCCTCTGGGTGAAAAATTTTCTCCTAATACCCAATCTAAACCTCCCCTGACACAGCTTCATGCCATTCTCTCAAGACCTGACACCAGAAAGATCAGCATCTTCCCTCCTCTTCTCCTCATGAGGAAGCTGCAGACAGTTTATCAGGTCTCCTCTCAGTTTCCTCCTCTCCAGGCTGGACAAGCCAAGTGACCTCAGACACTCTCCATATGGTATCTCCTCTAGACCCTTCAGCATCTTTGTAGCTCTCCTTTGGATGTTTATGTTTCAGTTACTAGAGAACAAAGAAATGTCCTTCCTGAGCTGAAAAGTATTTTTCAAGCAACAGCCCACCTATCTGTTTTATAAGAAATAGCTCAGAAGAAAAAAAAATTCCAGATGTTTATCATGGAGGATTAATGCCTCCACAAATGTCCCTCAGACTGGAGAGCTCAGAGGAGAGAGGTTTCCACCAAGACAAAACCATTCAACTAGATTCATGTCTCTCCTGTTCTAGCACAGCCAGACAGTAACAGCAGTGAAACACTATCTGATGGAGAGAGGGAGCCAGCAGCAAACACCACTAGGATATCATTATGAGCCAAATGTTCTGTGCTGAGATTCGCAAAAGGCTCAGAAGAACTCACTGTGCCTAGTGTGAAAATAGGGCAAGAGCACACTCTCATTTCCAGTGCCACAGTGATGACCTTACCCCTCTCAGCTGAGCCCTGTCCTTTACCTTTGACAGAGGGATGCTTAACAGATGGACCAGACTGGGCACTCATCATGCCACGAGCTCCTACTTTTCTCAGAAACAGTGCCAGTACCTTGGACAACACACAAGTACCTTGATGACATTCCAGCAAAGAGCTTTAGGACTACCCACCTAGCACCAGACAACAGCCTGAAACAGTATCCCTGGTACAACACATCTTTTCCTAAATCTTTACCATTTTTAAAGGCTGATGGTAACACTCTGGTTTCAGGTTTATATTTTCACCTTAACTGCCCAAACCCTTACCATCACCTCACATGCAGCTGAAGTGGAAATGAAACTTGCTGGGCTGACTGATTGCAGTAGCTTAGAGAAGCAAGCAAAACAAAGTAAAAAGAGCATGCGTGGGAGGAGCGAGATGGAGAAAGGTGGCTAAGGAAAGGATGTGACAACAGTGGTCCTTGCACATAGGCAGATCCTCCTCTTGATGCAGGGAGGGTGGCATGACCCCCACACAGCTGACAGCTCACTCGAGACAACCCCGCAGTACGGGAAAGACATTGAGATGCTGGAATGAGTCCAGAGAAGGGCAACAGAGCTGGGGAAGAGTCTGTAGATTAAGTCATATATGGAGCAGCTGAAGGAGCTGAGGTTGTTTCACCTCCAGAAAAAGAGGTTCAGGGGTGACCTCATTGCCCTCTACAACGCTGTACAGGTTGTAACAAGGCGGGGGTTGACCTTCTCTCCCAGGACATGAGGAAATGGCCTCAAGCTGCACCAAGGGAAGTTCAGATTGGAGATCGGGAAGAATTGCTTCACTGAAAGTGTGGTTAGGCATTGGAACAAGCTGCCCATGGAGGAGGTGGAATCACCATCCTTGGAAATGTTCAAGAAACTACTGGATGTGACACTTAGTGCTATGGTTTAGTTGGCATGACAGTGTTCAGTCAAAGGTTGGACTCAAGGATCTTGAACATCTCTTCCTACATTAGTGATTTTTTGATTCTAAATCCAAGTAGGAAGGGAATAAAGATCCATGGCTGTCCCTCTTTGCTGTCCAGCAGCAAAATCAAGGTGTCCATTACCCAAGATCTGATATCATACTTGATTTACTGCACAACAGTGCATGCTGGCAGAACTGAGAGTTCCAGAATGCCGTTTGAAAGATAAAATTAGGCAGGTTTCAATACCCCACCATGAAACAAATGATGGCAAGGTTCATCTTTTTTGCTATAGCTCAGAAAACAAAAATGTTCAATGGGAAAGTGCCTACATCTCATCACGGCTCCTTCTCCACTCTAACCACTTAGTCTCCTTCATATCTTAATACTCTTTTATGATATAATACATTCTGGATGACAGTTGCTTAGTTACAAAAACCCTCAGATCAACAGCTACAGTATTAAAATATTGCCAAAGGTCAAATCCCACTGTATGATCATTCAACATCTCAAAGACGTGTCTTTTATTATTTTTCTTAGTGTCTGAAATAAATACTAAAAAACATTTTAATATAACAAGCTGTGCTCTGTTGAAGCAACTGTACAGCCAGGGTCAATACATGCAATTATATCATTATAATTATAGACAAACTGTTATTATTATCTTTGACTACATCAATTTTATATCTTAGCCCTTCCCCTACCCCTCCCTCAAAAAAAAAATCAATCCTGGAGGAAATTAGAATTATGAAACATTTGGCTAGAAGTAAAATTGTAAAGAAAAGATCAGTAAAAGAAGGTTAAATATTTCCAGGCTTTATATTGCATGAAACCAGCATCTTTCACAACGGCAGTGGCTCCTTAAGAAAGAATTGCATTGTATTATACAGACATTACTGTTTTAACAGAACAAAAGCATGGGCATTTTTACAGCCTATGCAAGTTCTGCATCATATAGAAGGTGGTACATCCCCAAGATATTCAGCCTGGCTGCTTTCCCTATTTTCAAATCCTTTTCCATCCCCCTCTTCCAGTATCTCTTTTTCATCAATGTGGCACCAGGGTGTCAGAATTCCTGCTTCTTCTGCATGCTTTACCCCAACACAACTCTGGCTGTAGCCTGCATGCCCAACTGCTCATACAAACAGAGGCTACTTGTTTGTAAGCATGGGGAAGCATTTAATGAAATTAATTGCAGGCTTGGTGTACCTTCTGACAATGGATCTGAGAGGGTTCTGTAGCTAAGGTTTCCTTAACACCCTTTCCTGTCTTACACCTTTCCTACCATCCAAATGGAGATAGACAATGCAGAAGTCAGGGATAGACAGCTGACTTCTCACAAGACAGTGCAGATGCATTCTCCCTAGATTGCATTTGAAAGCCCTCTAAGCCTTTAGAGGATGCTGAGAATTGCTCAAGTCTGTCAGGAATGATACAGCATGTTCAAACATATAGCAAACATGTTAGTTAGTCCAGAACTGTCCAGTTCTCTGCTTAAAATTTGACAAGGATGTGTCTACAGATCTACTTACTCATATAGTCCTGAAGGCAATGGTTTGCAGCTTGCAGGTGCTAACACAACAGAGAAACATGGATGTGCCCGCACCTCCTGAGTTTGTATTTGTTTGAGTTTGTATTACATATCATTGTATTACAGAAAATTATTACCACCTTGAAAATCCCCTTGTGAATACATCTGGAAGAGCTTGTTTGTGTAAATCTGTGTTCATTTTGTACCTTATAAATGAAGAGCAGAAGGATCAATCCATCAAGGAATCATTCCCTTCAGAATGAAGCAAAAGCAGCTACATAGACCCAGGCCCAACATCAGCAAATGCATTTTTCCTGGGGTCAGCAATTGTTAGCATCTATTAGCTGTTGAGTTTCCTTAGTGATCTGAGTAATACAGAAAGATCAAAGAAAACCCAACTGACTGAGACATTTGCAATTTCACTACAGCAGGCATAGAGACTGAAGCATGAAATCTTTGAGACAAGTAGATGTTAGTGACAGCTTACAGCAGTGGGGCTGAGTGAATGAATGAACATTTCCTATTTGTGATGGAAAACGCTGCTTTCTGTACATGAAGGGTCACACTGTGCTCAGAGTGTGATGACAGGATCATATAAAATATATTTACAAGCAGTCACACAGCATATACTGTAACTGCAAGCAGGTGTTTCGGTGCCTAACACGATAAAGCTCACAAGCAGACAAAATAGAGGGAAAGACTGTGAGACACCCCCACCCACCCCAAGGAAACACCAAGACAACTACCCCAAACAAACACCCAAAAAACAAGACACTGATAATGCTGGTGGTTACAGAGCTGGTGATCACTGTGACAGTCTCCTTTCTGGACAAAATCCCACAGCCTACTACTAGGTATGTAGATAAATGCTTCAACGAAGTTATTAAAAATCCTCTGCTCCTGTATTTTGTGGCAATTTAATACTGTCCCAGGTTCATGACCAAAGCCTTCAGACACAACCACCCAGCCCTTCCTATGGGAATGCTGTATTAAAATTCTCATGCACACAGATGCTCCAACCATGAAATGCCACTACACATACACAGTCGGCTTGGGATTTTACTGTGCAGGCCAGTTGACATGGTAGATATATTCTTCAAATGAAACCAAGGTCTCCCTGTGCTGTTCTGTGTGCAAACACAGAGACGGCTTCTTGTGTGGAAAGACTGGAAAAGTAATTAAGGATAGTTTGAGGAAGAACAGAAATACTAAGGATTTATCTGGATTGCCCAGAGTACTTTTGGATTCCCTACCAACATACCAGAATGCCATTTTGTGCCTTCTAGGGTCGGGGGGGGGGTTGAAAGAGACAAAAAAAGACAACCACCTCCAAAAGCAAGCATGGCCCAGTCAAGCAAGTATGTTGTACCACACACATTAGTGAGGGACAGAGCCCGCGATCGCCTGCCGGCAGCTAAAGAGCTGACACACCAGCTTGTCGAGTCCTGAAATCCAAACGAGCTCATTGGAGCCTGCTGCTCTCCTGCAGTCCATCACAGAGACAGATATCAAGGTTACAATCAGGAAGAATGCACAGACAATTAGGAAAATACAGCTGCCACAGTCACCATTTCTGTTGTTTTGCTTTTTCACATAAAATAGTTGGAGAATGGCATCAGTCAGTACCAAGGATCAAAATATGATCAATTCCCACTCTTCCTGCCACACAGAAACCCCAAAATTCAGCTGACCAAGATATGGTACCATCAGTAACTGACTCAAAAAAATCCCACTTCTTGCAACTTCAGGGATCATTTTTCATATAATATCCACCTATTTCTAGCTAAATCTGACTCTGCTTAGTTCATGACTGTACCGAGAGATGCCTTTTCTCCTGACAGCTTCTGTGGCCTACTTACCACCCCTGCTGTTAATAGTGTGGATTGGATGCTTTGCCTCCACTTTCAAAGGTTCATTCTTATGTGCAGGATATTTTTTTTTTTAAATTTGGTTTGGTTGATAAGGAGGAAGTTTTAGCATGGTAGGCAAGGATTTAGTCATATGTGAGCCACAGAGAACATTATCCTTAGAGATTAATTTGGAAATCAAGTGACAATTGGCAGGGTATGTGTTTATTTTCTATTTTTTGAAAGCTTTAAAAGTACCACAGGTTTTTTGCATCATCTGAAGGAGATCTATTCTTCTTCTATATTATTAAACCTCAGAGACACAAAGAGAATATCATGCTTGTCTCAAGTGTCAGAGATAAAATTAGTAATTTCACTGCAAATCAGAAAACAAACTAGATTATTAGGAAGAAGAGCTCTACACTAATCAAAAGGGTGTCTCACAACCACCTTTTAGATGTACTAAAGGCAGCTGCCTCACTGTGAATTTAATTCAATGAGCACAGGAAACGTAATTTATTTGGCACATACTGTTTGCTAATCAAAGAGTATTTCTTGGCATCTAAACTGTGTGAGTGACAGAATGTTAAGCCTGAAAACATACTGATAGTCCTCAAAGTTTTTCATCAAATCCAAGAAACATAATGTGCACACATGCAAGCAATTCTTCTCATTCAAGTAATGAAGGTGAAATCTGTGTTATCGAGTTTTGTTACACTGAACTGTGGTCTTAGGGAGACCTTACAAGAAATGGCTTTTTCCTCTCATATTTGTGCAGGACAGAAAGCTTCATGACTTTATAATTTCTCCTTCTTTCTAATTACTGTACCACAGAACACTACCTGTGATGACGACAAAGTCTGTGAGCAAACCTTATCAGCAGAAAACAGTCCTGGTATATCTTCATTCAATTCAGACTTAGGAGCATGAAACTGGTTTTTTTGTTGATTTTTTTTTTTTTAATCAAGGTTACTGTGGGCTTCCCATCTTGCATATCTGTGGTGTGGGGAACAGGTTAAGGAATAACTTCTCTTTTCCTTCTGAAATGTATTGCCTTGGGAGATTGCTCTACTGCAGTGTGAATGTGTGGACCTCCACCACCACAGGCAGTCATGATGAACAGCCATTAAACCAACCATCTTGGCTGCAGAGGAATATTTCACTGTGCTCTTTCACAACATAAGCTAAAAAACAGCAGAAAGGAGCATGGATTGCTGCACAGTGTCTGCTCACACTTTTTCTAGTGCAACAGATGCTGTGACTGAGGAAAACCAGGTTCTCCCTCTAAGGTAGCCATTGCTCTTCAAATCATAAATAATCTCAGGACTAATAAAC